CATAGAGGAAGGACGCTTCGAGGTACCGGAATCTGACAACATGGACGCGAACAAATGCTCAGAGGCAATAGTACGAGCAATTACAGAAAAATGCACGATCACGATAGACCCACGGGCAAAACGCCGGAGATCAGTGCACTGGTGGACGCACGAGATTGCGGGCCTACGCAAGGACGCCAACCACGCCAGGAGAGTATACCAGCGGAAACTCAAGAAAAGTGGAAGGAGGGAATGTGCGGCCGAGGAAGAAAGGGCGAAGTCAACAAAACTAGATCTGGTAAAGGCAATAAAGAAGAGCAAAGAACAGGCTTGGAAAAGATTATGCGACCTGGTAGACCGAGAACCATGGGGAGCGGCATACAAAATAGTGATGGGCAAACTTCAAAAGAAGAGGCCGATTCCAGAGCTAACAACACCAGGGAGACTGGAAAATATCATATCTGGACTGTTTCCCACCCACGGAGACCGCGAAAAGACACAGTGGCCAAACGAGTGCCAGAGACAAGCGAAATCTGAGGCCATAAGACCAGGAGAACTGGCCACAGCAGTCTCATCACTGAAGAGGAACAAAGCTCCCGGCCCAGACGGAGTGACAAACGAGATGGTGAAACTGGTAGCAAGGAAATTCCCAGAGATGCTTCTGACAGTATACAACAAGTGCCTGTTCGAAGGAAAATTTCCGAGAAAGTGGAAAAAAGCCCGCCTAGTACTGATTAGAAAAGGGGACAAACCACTAGACGATCCGTCGTCATACAGGCCAATATGCCTCCTAGACTGCTTGGGGAAAGTGCTCGAAAAAATTATGGATAATCGTCTGAGGGACATACTCGAACGGAACAGCGGGTTGGCAAACTGCCAATACGGCTTCCGGAAAGGGAGGTCCACGATAGACGCACTGAACCACTTAAAATGGATCGTGCAGGAAAAAGGGGCAAGAGGACGAACAGGCGTGCTGACAATGGACATAAAAAACGCATTTAACTCGGCACCATGGCTGGAAACTATGAAAGCCCTACGGGGCAAAGATATTCCGTTATATTTATGTCGCCTGGTAGACGACTATCTATAGGACCGCAGTATTATATACGAAGCAGACGGGCAAAAAACAGAGGTGAAGCTGTCGAGCGGAGTGCCACAAGGATCAGTTCTAGGACCAACACTCTGGAACATTCTGTACGATGATCTGCTGAGAGTACCATTGCCGGAAGGAGTAGAGTACCTCGCATTCGCCGACGACGTGGCTCTCGTGGCAACCGCGAAAGAAGCATACGAGTTGGAGGGAAAACTAACGACGCAGCGGAAAAAGTGAGCTCCTGGCTAGAGAGCACAGGACTAAAACTAGCGGCGCACAAGTCCGAAGTGGTAGTAATTACGAGGTTTAGGAAACACAATGCAATAACAGTCAACATAAAGGATACCCAGATCAAATCCAGCGGCAGTATCAAGTACCTTGGAATACAGATTGACGCCAAAATGATGTACACGGAGCACGCAAAGAGAGCAGCGACCAAAGCGGGTAACACTCTGTGTCACCTAGCGAGGATCATGCCGAACCTGAGTGCCGCGAGGCAACACAGGAGAAGGCTGCTAGCAGGCGTAATCCATTCCCAACTCCTTTACGGAGCCGAAGCATGGGCCGAGGACATGAGCCAGGAGGGATGGAAACAACTAGGAAGAGTGCAGAGGAAAGCGGCGCTAAGGGTTGCCTCTGCATACCGCACGGTATCAAGAGAGGCAATCCTTGTAGTATCTGGGATAACTCCCATCGACATTCAGGCAATGGAGAGACGGAGGTCCTATGTCCAGAGGAGAGGAGAACAGGAGTCACCCGAAACAGAAGGAGAGCCACAGCAAACGGCACTGGACAAATGGCAGGACAGATGGGAAGCTACAGAGGAAAGAAATTGGACGCGGCGTCTAATCCGAGACGTCAGAGTATGGACCGGTAGAAGACACGGGGAAGTCGATTACCACATAACACAGGCACTTACAGGGCACGGCTGTTTCGCTGAGTACCTCCACAGGTTTGGTCTGCTACACGAAGCCTGCTGCTGGTTCTGTGGACATACGATCGACGACCCAAACCACACATTTTTCGAATGCGATGCATGGCATAATAGGAGAAGGGAGCTGAACATGCTCATCGGAGAAGAGGTGAACGCGGAGAACATGGTGAGCAACATGATCCACTCGAGGGGCAGATGGAATGCAATAGCCAATTTCATTCATCATGTACTAACGAAGAAGGAGAATGAAGAGAGGAGGCGGAAAGGTCTACCTGTTTAACGTAGTTGTTAAGTATGTATTGTACGCTGAAGCAAAAACTGAGGGGATAGAGCCCTTCGTTATATGTATAAACATATTAAATTGTGAGACCACAAGTAGGGGGACTGTCCCTGTGAGTGGTCAAATGTATTTGTAATTGTATTTTTTTCAATAAATGATGGTCACTGAGGGGTGAAATGACTAACGTCAGTGCCACCCTCAGCCGACCGATAACATGTAAAAAAAAAAAAAAAAAAAAAAAAAAAAAAAAAAAGGTTAGGTTAGGTTAGGTTAGTTCAGCGGTGGCTGTTGTGGAGAACAGACGTGTTTGTGTGTCGCTCCCGCGAAAATCCGTTTTTTCAGTGGAAATAGTCAACCGTTTTTTGCAAATCAGGTACCAATCGACGCAGATTTCAACTCTGAAGAGTTTGGTACAGTCCGCGCGAAGATCGGTTGAGTTTTCACCGTGAAACCTCAATTCTTGTGTCCCGCACGTGCATTGAGCTACTGTGTTACGCATTTCTCGTTTCTTCCGATAAAAAGTGCGCGCTCGGCCGGTGTCGATTTCGAGTCGGCCTGATTAAGACCCACCGAACCCTCCCGAAGGGCTAGGTGCATCGCGCGCCCCCCTCGGACCCCCAGGGGCCGAGTGGATCACAGTCCAGGTCTTAGTGCCGCCGGCGAGTTTGCGGCCGAAGCACGAGTGCTACGTCCGCGCGCAGTGGCTCCAAAGACGCGGCTCGAGGAGACCTATCCACGGACACCGCGTCCGACAAAGTCCGACGTAACGCGGGTGAGTAATTTCATTTTTACTTTTCCCCTATGATAATACACGGCCGCCCAAAGCCGCCCGAGTGAAAACGGAATTCCCGCACAAACAGCTGTTTTCGCCGCGGAACAGCTGTCGTCACGCGACCGACGACGGGGAACAGTCCGCACGGTGTGAAGAACCGTCGCGACCAAATCGAAGGTGTCAAGTTGTCCCAGGCGGGATTTTAAAATTTCCCTCCTACACGGAGGTTGACGCTTTTGCACATAACTCCGCAAATAATTGTCGGAGAGAAGTGGGGCAAACGGCTAAGCCGTTCCCCAGGGGAAACGCTTATATTTCCCTCATCGGGAACATAAGCCCCAACCCCCCCCAAAACAGTTTTTTGCCGTTATCTCGGCCGGATTTGGTCGGAGAGCTCCGGGAAAAAAATTTTGCCCTCCCAAAATCCTCTGTCCTACCTGCGCGACAGCGGATACGACCCCGAGGATTACAACCCCCTACCCCCCCCCCAGGAGCGGAGCTAGGGGAAGTGATAGGGACAGTGGGGTGAGCAAACCAGAATCGTGGAGCTAGGGGCTGATACCTGCGGATTTGGCCCACTGCGTCACGTCTCTGGCTTAGCCATGAGTCACTCGGAATCAGCATACTCGGCTCTTAGCAACTTAGGGCAGTGTCTGAGCCTCCACGACGGTGGCGTGAAGCTATTGCTCAAGAAAGCTGAGGAGATGGAGGTAATTAAGGAAAAAATACGCTCGGACACAGTGAAGGTGGCGGTTAAAGAGTTGTTGGAAGTCGTGTATGCCTTGGAGGGGAGTAAGAGAAACGTGATTATAGCTTACAACGATACGAAAAAAGTCGTAAAAAAGGAGGAGGAAAACAAGGCGATCGAGCAGGCTTCCGCAAACGCCGGTGGCAGCGACTCACCACAGGCAGACAACCTGGCCATCGAGTTCAGCTCGCTGAGATCAGAGGTGGGTGAGCTCAGCAAAGCTGTAAGGGCATTAGTCGACAGCAAGCCGGAGGAGCACACAGGCAAGACGATTCAGATCCAGAGATGGCAACCACCGGCGGAGGACGCAGAGGAGGCACTGGTCACTGCGGCCGCATGGTCGGAGGCAGTTAAGAGGAAGACGGCGAGGAAGAAGAACCCCCCAACGCAAGGCGACCAAATTAACGGTGCGGTAGTAAACGGGAAAGTGTCGAAGGGCAACCCGCGAGTTCGCGCAAGGCCACAGGCGATTTTAGTGGACGTCACCTCGGTTGACTTTCCGGCGCTAGCAACGAAGATTCGTGGCGGCGTCGACCGTGGAGTCATCGGTGACAGCATCACTGGCATGAGGCAGGCAAAATCGGGGGGCCTACTCATCGAAGTCCGCGGCGATCAAGCGCGGTTTGAAGCGGTGCGCGCCGAGATCTCCCGCTCTGCGGGCTCTGAAGTGAGCGTACGTGCGCTCCAGCAAAAAGTCATGGTGGAGGTCAGTGACCTTGATCAGTGGTCAACTGCCGACGAGGTTACTGAGGCTACAGCCTCTGCCTCCGGCATTCCACCGGAGCAAATCAAAGTTTTTAATCTCAGGAAGAGATACGGGGGCTCTCAGTCGGCGTTGGTATCGCTACCGGTTGGACCCTCACGTGTGCTACTGAACTCCGGGCGGCTCCGTGTTGGCATGATAAGCTGCCGAATCAGGTTGGCGGACCAAAAACTAAGATGTTTTCGCTGCTTCTGTCCCGGGCACACAGCGAAGGAGTGCTCCGGCACTGACAGAACGCAATGCTGCAGACGCTGCGGCGAGCAAGGTCATAGGGTAGCTACCTGCAGCGCGACAGAAACCGCAGTTAGTGCTTTTGCCAAGTCCCTGGCGGCGGAGGTCCCAGCCCAGAAATGAGCGCGGCCGAGGGGTGCGGAGTTATTCAAGTCAACTTGAACAACAGTTGGATGGCCCAGCAGCTTCTGCTGCAGACTATGGCAGAACGCAGATCGAGCATCGCAGTTCTGTCAGAACACAACCGGCCGATGGGTGACTCTGATCACTGGGCAGAAAGCCTGGACAGGAAATGCTCCGTGTTTGTTCCGAACTCCTCGGACTTGACCCTGGACGAGCAAGGAGCGGGCGCAGGCTTCGTCTGGGTGAGGCTGGGCGATGTACTACTGTACAGCTGCTACTGCACTCCGAACTGCACGATCCAAGAGTACGACCTGTTCCTGGGCGGACTGGAACTTTCGATCGCGCAGCAGCCAAGAACACCTGGGAACCTGGTTGTTGCAGGGGACTTTAACTCTCACTCCCCTGAGTGGGGCTCAGCGAGGCTAGACAACAGAGGATCCATGCTGTCGGACTTCGCCACGTCGCTGGGTCTAACTTTATGCAACGTCGGCTCAAGGCCCACCTTTAGACGGGTAAACGCAGCATCAATCATTGACGTCACGATGGAACGCTTTCCCTCCCGCGGCCGTCAACTAGTCACTGGCTGGTCGGTACTGGAGGACACCTACTCGGCAAGCGATCACTTGTACATCGAATATCACGTTTCCCTGCGAGCAGCGCAAGAATCCACGCGCCAGACAACGATAAACAGGGCTCCGGGCTGGTCAATAAAAAAGTTCAATCGGGCTGTGGCTGAATTGTTCTTTGAATTGTCTGGTCCGTCGAGACCACTGTCATCTGCAGCACCCGCCTCGGAACACGTAACGCGTTTAGGGGCCTTACTCTCCGCCACTTGTGACGCCTCAATGCCGCCTAGGTCGACGTTCGAAGCTAGGAGAGCCGTCCATTGGTGGAGCGATGACATCGCCGCGCTTCGCAGGACCGCAATTGCCGCGAGGAGAGCGTACCAGCGCGCCGGCCGCAGATCGGGGAGGGGAACCCGGGAGGCCGAGCTGGAAACCTACAAGAAAGCGCGATCTGACCTGAGAACGGAGATCCGCAAGGCACAAGAGAGAAGCTGGTCGGAGCTGTGCCGTTCAGTAGACAATGATCCCTGGGGAGTCCCCTACAGGCTGGTCACCAAGAGATTAGGCCGCCGATCACCGGCAATGGACCATGCGGTGAGAGTAAACGTGGCTCGCGGTTTATTCCCTCTATCACCGAGGACAGATTGGGAAAGTATACCAGCAGTGGGTGGTGAGATGGCTCTACCGGTCATACTTCCCGAGGCGCTGCCAGGTATACCACTGTTCACCACTGACGAAGTGGCTAGGACTGTCGGAAAACTGCCGTCGGGAAAGGCACCTGGTCCTGACCTCATTCCCAACGAGATTATCAGAACAACCTTCGAAAAGTTCCCGGAAGTGTTTGTGGGCTGCTATAACGCCTGCCTCTCTGAGGGGTCTTTTCCCACCCCATGGAAGTGCGCCAAGCTGGTGTTACTGCACAAGGGCAAAGGGAAACCGAGGAACGAGCCTTCGAGCTACCGCCCAATCAGCCTATTGGACGGCTCCGGCAAGGTGCTAGAGAGGTTGCTCCTGGAGAGGCTAATCCCTCACATTGACAGCGTGGGTGCGTTAAGCAATCTCCAATTCGGCTTCAGGCGATCGAGATCCACCGTTGACGCTATCCACCAAGTCCTGAACGTGGCCAAAGCTGCGGGCAGCGGCCCAGTCCAAAATAGAGACCTGTGTGTCTTAGTGACGATTGACGTGAAGAATGCTTTCAACACAGCTCCGTGGCGATTAATCGACGTGGCACTACGCCGCTGCGGGACTCCGGACTACTTGCTAAACATCCTCAGGTCGTACATGGAGAACAGAGAACTGTTAATCGGGGACAACGACTGCCTCCCCGTCACCTGTGGCGTCCCACAGGGCTCGGTGCTGGGCCCAACATTGTGGAACCTGTTTTATGATGGAGTGCTCAGGCTCCCAGTGCCTGCAGGAGTCAAACTTGTCGCATTCGCGGACGATGTGGCGGTGGTGGCGGTGGCCCACAATGCGGAGCTGATCGAGCAATTGGTAAACCCTGTCCTCTGCACGATCTGCGAGTGGATGACGGAGAATCACCTACGACTCGCCCCCGAAAAATCGGAATGTGTGGTTCTCACGAAGAAGCACTCTTTTCGGGATCCAGTGTTGCACATTGATGGGTGCCCGGTAGCCGTCAAAAGGTCGGTAAGGTACCTAGGCGTCCAGTTGGACACCCGCCTATCCTTCGGCGTACACGTGGAATCGGTGACAACTGGCGCGAGGAGAGCCGCCTCAGCGCTTGGCAGACTGATGCCGAATGTAGGTGGTCCAGCCCAGTGCAAGCGCAGCCTGCTAATGAGCGTGGTACACAGCCGTCTGCTGTACGGCTCCGATGTTTGGGCAGACGAGGTGCAGCACGTGGCCAAGTTCAGGAACCTGTTACTCCAGAGCCAGAGGTGCGCTGCCCTCAGAGTCGCGAGATGTTTCAGAACTGTCTCCGACATGGCCGCTCTTGTCCTGGCAAGGATGCCGCCAGTCACTCTGCAGGCGGTCGTGCGAAAGCGTGCCACCGCTCACAGGCACGAAGGTGCGGTCTTGACAAACCAACAGAAGGAGGACCTCGTAATCGGTGAATGGCAGACGATGTGGGATGTCTCCACCAAAGCTGCATGGACGAAATCGCTCATCCCAGATCTGCGTAGATGGTGGAGGCATGGACCGAGGGAAGTAAGCTACCACATGGCCCAAGCCCTAACGGGTCATGGCTGCTTTCAGAGCTATCTGTGGCGTAGGAAGAAAACTGAGAACCCAGGGTGCGTTCACTGCCCGGCCGTGTTCGACGATGCAGAACACACTCTATTCGTTTGTCCATTCTGGGATGCAGCAAGAACGGAAGTTGCAGCGGCGCTTAGGAACCCAGTTGGTCCAGAAGACGTTCTATACCTCCTGTGCGGCCCTGACCCCCAAGAGCTTCCAGATGATCCGTCCCTGCGGAGAAGGTTAACTGCGGCATCACTGAGGCATGGGGAACTTTTTCATCAGATGGTGGAGTCCATTCTATCCGAGAAGGAAGAACTGGAGAGACAGCGCCAGCGTCAAATGCGTCTTCATAACCATTAGTTAAGTTTATTTGTTGTGGGCTGAAACGGCCAACCAGGGTGGTTAGAGGCCCAAAAGTTTTTGTATTTAAATAACGTTTATATCTTGTTGTGTTGATAACTGTTGTGGGCTGAAACGGCCGATCAGGGTGGTTAGAGGCCCCCAGGTATTGTAATTTTAAAATATTGTTATATTTGTTGTGAAGTATTTATTGAAATAAATGATGTGGTCAGGGAGGCAGTAATGGGGAAACCTTTTTCCCTCCCTGGCTGCGATTCAATCGGAAAAAAAAAAAAAAAAAAGTTTAGGTTAGGTTAGGTTAGGTTAGGTTAGGTTGATCCGTGGGGACTCCCGTACAGGATTGTCACAAAAAAACTGATTGGGAGAAGATCCATCCCTGGTTTGACGTTGCCGGGAAGGCTGGACGCAATAGTCAATTGGCTCTTCCCTCGTTGCCCACCACCCCAGTATACCCCAGTTGACAGTCAAGTGACCGTAGCGGACACGTTTGCCGTTGAAGACCTGAAACAGGCGGGTCTCAACCTACCTCGAGGCAAAGCACCGGGTCCTGACGGCGTACCCGACGAGGTCCTGCGGGTGATCGTCAAGGTACGTCCTGAGCTGCTCCTCCCGACGTTTATTGCCTGTCTTAGGACCGGCCAGTTCCTGGAGAGTTGGAAAACAGCCAAACTAGTCTTACTCCGGAAAGGCAACAAGCCTCTGGAAGAGCCTTCTTCGTACAGGCCACTGTGTCTGCTCAATTCTGTGGGCAAGCTGTACGAAAGGCTAATCAAAGTCAAAATCGAATCCCACCTGTATGCTCAACCGGATGGCCTTTCTAGACTGCAATTCGGCTTTGTCAAAAGCCGCTCGACTACCCAGGCGGTGAGTCACGTGATGAAGATTGTAGAAAAGGCGGGGACAGGACAGTTGTACAACAGGAGGCTATGCGCCTTAGCATCCCTAGATGTCGCTAACGCGTTTAATTCCGCCCCTTGGGACCACATAGACGCGGCACTAATTGAGAAGAGGGTTCCGGGCTACCTCATAGCTGGCATCAGATCTTATTTCGATGGCAGATCAGTGCAAACAGACGCTGGAACGCGGGAGGTCACGGCGGGCGTTCCCCAAGGATCCGTCATAGGCCCACTGCTGTGGAACATTTTTTATGACAGCTTGCTAAGGATGGAGTACCCAGAAGGGGTACAAGTTGTATGTTTTGCCGACGATGCAGCGATCGTTGCCACCGGGAAAACAACGTGGATACTGGAAAGTGCCATGAACAGCGCTCTTGACATGGTGGCAGACTGGATGGATGAACATCAACTGACCATCTCCAGCAGCAAATCGGCGGCGGTGATGCTGACCACCAAAAGAGGCTATGTCAAGCCGGTTTTCAAGTACAAGGGCACCAACATTGAGCTCAAGGATAGTATCCGGTACTTAGGGATTGAGCTTAGCTGCGTCCTAGGGTTCAGAAAGCACATCGAGGTGACAAGTGATAAAGTCACGAAAACGGCTTCAGCTTTGGCAAGATTAATGCCGAACGTAGGCGGTCCTATGCCTGTCAAAAGGAAATTACTAACATCAGTGGTGCACTCACAGCTTTTATATGCCGCCCCCATATGGCATAGTGCTCTTCTGTATGATAGGAACAAGAAGACCTTGGCCTCTCCGCAGCGAAAAATGGCCTTGCGGGTTATTAGTGCCTACTGCACTGTTTCAAATGAGGCTGCCATGGTGGTTGCAGGAATAGTCCCCATCCACATTCTGGCAATGGAAAGAGCTTTGATGGAGCGAAGCAAGTCTACTGGTATCCTAAAGGATGTGGCCAGAGCAGACGCAAACGCCCGCTCCATGCTTAAATGGCAGTCAGAGTGGAAGGCTGCTTCAAACGGGCGTTGGACGTTTAGGCTAATACCAAACGTTCAGCAATGGACAGAGCGAAGCTTCGGACAAGTAAGTTTTCACATGACGCAAGCCTTGACCGGGCATGGCTGCTTCAACGCCTACCTCTGCCGCTTCAAGAAGAGAGATGACTCTGTATGCATGTATTGCCAGCATCCAGTTGACGACGTGGAGCACACAGTCTTCCTGTGCGACAGGTGGTGGCGCCAGAGGAGGGAATTGGAAGTCATGCTGGATGGAATGTTCACCCCGGAGGCCATGACTGCAACTATGCTCAGTTCAAGACGGAGATGGGACGCGGTTTCCAAGTTTATTGAGACGGTGCTAACCACAAAAGAAGCGGACGAAAGAGCCATCCAAGCTGAGGCGTGAATCCACTATTATTTAGTTAAGTTTACATTATTGTAGCTCAATGAGCAAAATTGAGGGGATAGAGCCCCTCATGCATGTCTTTTGTTGTTAAGTGCACATTTGTAAGAGTTAGTGAGTGGGGGATTGGCCCACCACAGCTTACCCAATGTGTAAATTCCGTGATTTTGTCAATAAACGATGGTCGGTAGGGGCAAGTAGTGTGTCGCGTAAGCAAACAGTTCGCCCCTACTGGTCGGTTCAAACTTAAAAAAAAAAAAAAAAAGGTTAGGTTAGGTTAGGTTAGGTTCATACGTATGTCCCCCCCGACGGGACCCACCTTGACGTGGCGGGGGGGCTCACCGACTTCGGTCGGTGCCAAGAGGTACCCAACTCCCCGGCTCCGACTTTAACTAGTCGGAGTTGGAGCCTCCAGAGCCGCCTCTGACCTTAACTGGTTGGGGGTGGTAGGTATGGCAACCACCTGCTTACGCTAGCAAACGGTCCCAGAAGGAAGCTGCAAATCCCCCTGGCGGTAGGGCTAAAACGCTGGTTAGAATTTTCCACAAAAATCAAACATGGATAAAAACGCCAAGACTGTACCCCTGACCAAGGGCCCCACGGATTCAGGGGGGGGCCCGTCCATAACTGGCAAAGAGACTGGAAAACTGGAACCCGGAATGAAGATTGATTATGAAGATATGTGTTTTGACAAACCCGAAGAGGATATAACAAATGAAGATCTCTCCAGCTGGCTATTTGAGTACTGGGGTAACCTGGACTCAAGCGTCGGAAAACTCGCAACTGTGGTGGAAAAGATGTGCACCTTTTCCCTGGCAACGAGAAACTTACACAAGGAGATGAAAGGCTGGTGCATTGAGTTGCACAAACAAATGGGCAGAGTTCAAAAAAGAAGCGAAGCACTGAAGTCCTTTGTCGACAAATCATCGGACAGAATTGTAGATTTGTCTTCTAGCCTCCTAGAAGTCAGCACTACGCATAGCCTAAGGGCAGTGTCAGCAGTTGACATAGGAGTCGGCACGGAAACTGAGGCTGTTCTGAAACCAAGAAGTAGCGATGAACAGGATACTGGACAACAGACCAGCAGCAAAACCGGCACGAACCAAGGGCATGGCAGACAACGCCGCCACTTGAAGACAACTAATGAGAAGAAGAAGAAGACAAAAATGAAGACCACCGACGATCCAAAAAATATAAGATCAGAAACCAAGAGTGGAAACCAGAAAGAAGAAAAAAGAACGTCCAAAAGAAAAAAGAAGACTGAAACCATACTCATCAAATCCTCCGAAGTTTCTAGCTACGCTGACATCACGAGGAAATTGAAGGGAAACATTGATGTCAACACACTCAAGGTTGACATTAAAACGATGAAAAAAACGGAAAGAGGGGACCTCATATTGCAAATAGATAGAGGCCCGAAGCAAGCGGAAGCAGCAGAGAGGCTAAAAACCGCGATAGTCGAGGTCCTGGGAGAAGAAGCAGTAGTAGAATACAAGCCGAAATCCGCCACGGTCGAGATAAAAGACCTAGAGACGGAAACCTCAGAAGATGAAGTAAAAAACGCGGTCGTCAAAGCGACAGACGTGGCCCCAAACTCCATCAAGCTACTTCCTTCATTCGGGGGTACCAAGATGGCTGTGGTAAGGCTGAGAGACAGAGAAGCAATTGAACTTGGAAGAATTGGAAGACTAACAGTAGGTCTGGTGCGGTGCCGAGTGAAACTTAGGCAACAAATAGTAAGGTGCTTCAGATGTCACGATTTTGGACACATCAGGGCGAAGTGTTCAGGAGCGGACCGGTCAAACCTCTGCATGACATGTGGGGACGGCGACCATGAGGCGAAGAGCTGCAGCAGCCCACCCAGATGCGTCCTCTGCAAGGACAACGGTCACGATGGTTCACACTATCCTGGCAGTGGGAGATGCAAAGCAGCACAAGAGGCGAAGAAGAAAACTTAGTTAAGTCTTGTAAAATTGTAAGCCAAACGGAAAAAAATTTTCAGGGTGGTTAGAGGCCCCCATATTCGCATTGTAAAAATAATTAATGTAATATTATAAATGTAATTCCAAATGAAATTTTGTGTAACAAATAAATGATGGGGCATGGGGGTGAAATGACCGCAAGGTTAGTACCACCCCATGCCTCGATACAACGTAAAAAAAAAAAAAAAAAAAAAAAAAAAAAGGTTCATACGTATGTATGAATGTTTCATAAAAAAAAAATGTTAATGAAAAATATATCTATTTTCTTTATTTTAATTTTTATAAGTGTTTTAAAAAACTTAACTTTAAATATTGGATTTCACTGTTATACCTATGTAGGGCTGGTTCTTAGCTTTTTAACATCCGGGGAAAATAAAAAAATACGCCCTTTTCAGGGAGATGGCCAAAATTAGTATTTTTTATCAAGCACACTCACACAGTATTGTGAGGAACAATGCCTTTTGTAATATACTTGACCAATAAATTATTGATAACTTTTAATATAAAAAGCTTTATGTAAAAGAACAATATTTAATTTACAACATAACAATATTATACTGAAATTTGTAATTTAAATTGTAATGATTATAACATGATAAAGATTTAATAAATAATCTGAAAACAATTAAATCAGTAGTAAGTAATATTTCATGTAATACCTATTTGAAAAAATATATAATTATTAATTTTAAATTACATAATAATAAATTACAATTAATAGTGGCATTTTTATGATTAAGTTTTAAATAACTATCTACGCAATATATAAAAAAAAATGTATAAAATATATTAATATAATAATATTAAATAATATATTATATGCAAGAAAACGATGTCATTTACCAAACTTTATTATATCACTAATCGTAGGTACCTACATTAATCTATGATAGACTATAGGCGTGTAAGTAGTATATATATACCAGTCCTGGCGCACCGCTTAATATATCAGTAAAAGATCACAAAGAAAACAATGTGCAAAAAGATCAGAAAATTGAAATGCAATAATAATTAAAAAAATTTTTCGCAAAACTTATGAAATGCAATAATAATAAAAATATTTTCCACAAAACTTAATTATTAAAAATAAAAATCGAAATGCAATAATAATAAAAATATTTTCGGCAAAACTTAATTATTAAAAATAAAAATCGAAATGCAATAATAATAAAAACATTTTTCGCAAAACTTATTAAATACATTTTCACCCCCAAAATATTTTTCATAATACTTATGATATTAATAATTAAAATCGAAATGCAAAAAAATGTATAAAAAGAAATTGAATACCAGAGTTAAAGGAATTGAAATTTATAATAAAAGAATGGAAACTATAAAAAATTTTAATAAGGTACAAGAAAAAGAAATGCAAAACGAAATAGAAAAATCAATATTAAATAATGAAATCTTTGTTAAGTTTTGTAAATATGAATACTTTCATACTAATAATAAAAAAAATATTAAAATTATAAAATATAATCTACACAAAATTCCAATTGAAGGAAATATTTTAATTATCGATCCTCTTGGAAATGGAAAGCCTTATGCTTCTAAAATACTAGAATCACCAACATGGCTTGAAATTTGTAAAATAGCAAATGATTTAATAAATACAACCGGTACTTATTTTTTCAAATATCTCCATAATATTAAGATTGTTCAAGATTTAGGAAATATTAAAATATGTTGTCTTATTATGCTGGGAGGTACAGATGCCGATCATAAGATGCTTAGAATATAATAATAATAATAATAATAATAATATAATTTAATTTTTAATAGAATTGTTCTATTAAAAAAATGTTCAATATTTAACGCGTGTCCCATTCGGACACGCGTTATTAAAATCCAAAAATCTTTAAAAACGATTTTACACTATGATACTATGAGGGGGACTTATAAAGAATTAAAATCAAAAATGTTTAATGTAAAAATGAAGATTCTAACATAAAAAGCAACGGAGTTATACTTAAATGAAAAATATGAAGCGGGGGTAAACTTTTAATATGTAGTGTAGATAAGTATATAAAACATATCTGTGTTGATCCGACTTGATAATATCAAATATTAAATGAAATATAGGACATATACGATCGTGTTATTTTTTAATATTTTTAATAGAAATATGGAAAAAAATGCAAAAAATCTACAAAATCATTCCCAGCTTTGCAGATACCCGTTAGGAAAAAAGGAGGCCGGAACTCTTTTACAGATATCTGCAAAGCTATCGTGGGCAGTGAAGTTACCCAAGCGCTTTATCCAGCAGGACAACGACAGTTTTTCAGTAGATTGCATAGGTGTGTGCACCCACCTATACAATCTACCGTAAACGTCTTCAAAGCCTGATGAAATTAGTAGGTGAACATGGGCGCCACACGTTCTCCCACTAGTTTCAATCCGACCAAGAACACATTTTAAATCAAACGCGTTACCGACTGAGCTACAACACTTGGGCATGTATAATGATTATTTAAACACTATTTAAATAATTCGATAAAAAAACATCATAATATAAACTATACATATATATTATGATAAGGTATTCAATACCGGATGTTAAAAAAATAATCAGTCCAACGTTGATATATATACAATATTATTATTATTATTATTATTATTATTATACCACACTGTATAGGTATTATAATATTATATATAATACTTCGTAAGTATTATATTCGATTTAAATTTTCAAAGTTTAAAAAATAATCAGTCTAGCTCCATATAATTACTATTATTATTATTCAAATCGTGTAATTCCTCTTGTATTAATTTACGTAGTTCGTTTAATGAAAGTTTCATTTCATTATAATTTTTGTTTTTAATAAAACTTAAAATATTTTCGAAACAACAATTACTAATGAAACGGAAGTTAAATGATTTTAATTGATTATGTTTTTTGTAATAATCATATTTTAAAAGATTTTCAAAACAGCAATTATCCATTATATGATTCCATAACTTATTACTAATTTCACAGTCAATATCAATATCAATATCACTATCATTAAATATAGGTCTTAGGATTTTACGTTGTTGTTCAATCATATTTAAAAGTGTTTTGATATTTTCCATTTCTATTATTTATATTAGTAAATATATTTTTTTTTAACATCGAATTATTAAAACAACGAGTTGTTAAAAAACAACGTTAACGTAAAAAAACAACGTTAACGAGTTAACGTAAAAAACAACGACTCGTTAATGAGTTGCCGCTCAGATCTGAGCGTCGACTCGTTTATTCGTTTACTCGTTTATTCGTTTACTCGTTTATTCGTTTACTCGTTTATTCGTTTACTCGTTTATTCGTTTACTCGTTGACTCGTTTACTCGTTTACTCGTTGTTAAATATATATTAAACAAGTTGTTATTTTTAATAGAAATATTTCTATTAAAAAAATAAAATATTTAAATAAATTTTTTATAATTTTCAATAAATTCTAAACATAAATGACCACATATAGGTGGATCATTATAGTATTGAAATTGGGAAACAGTACAAAAAAGATTATCTTTACCCAAATATTTTAAAAGTTCTTTTGGTGGCTCACCAACTATATGACCAAATGGATCAAAATATATTTTAAATGTATTGTTTATTTTTTTCCATGCAACCCAATGAGAACCATTTTGAGTAGAATCATTTAAATTAAATACTCCACATTCATTTTCCCATGGTGTTGTAGGTAATTCATTTAACATAAAACACCCTCTATAATTTTTTATTTTATTTCCAAAATAATTTATATCTATATTACTCAATGGATCAATTTTTACATTATTTTTTTTAATCCAAAACCGTGTATAAATACCTTCAAATTTTTCAATATTATTTCTAAATGTTGTTATTTCAAATTTATTCATTTTTTCAATTTTTTTTTCGATATTTTTTTTTTTTTTTTTTTCAAGCCAGAACCTTGTGATCTAATTTTTTCCATCTCTTTATTATGTCGAATTGTTTCTTGTTCCATTTTTTTTTGTGTTTAGCATCAGTTACTGCAGTATAAAGTGCACTAGCACCTGCAGCCAAAGCACTTACACCTTCAACCACAGCAATAGCTATTGGTAAAAATCCACCTTTTTTAATTTGAACATGTTTAAGTTCTAAACTTGATCCGGTATTATTTTTTTTAGCGTTTTTTAATTTTCTTATTTGTTCTGGCTCAAGAATAAATTTATGTTTTCCACTATCAATTTGATTATTTTCAATTAGAATTGATACATCTTTATTATTTTTATGAGCTTTCAATATTTTATTAAATTGTTTTTTATTTAAATTTAGATTCATTTTATAATACAAAATATTAAATTAAATTAAATTAAATTAAATTAAATTAAATTAAATTCATTCCAAATCGTCTTTTTACATTCATTACATTTGCTGTAAAAATGGCTGCAGTTTTTTCACCTATAGAACTATGAGGATCATAAAATCTTTCCATTGCTTTTTGTTCTAAAATTTTATCAGCAATATGTCTTGTTTTAGTATCTTTATTATCTTTATAAAAATAATCATGTTCTCTCGCAGCTTCATCTAATTTGTTTTTAGGTTTTTTATTTTTTTCTAACTTTGTTCCCGGTCCTAAATAATTATAGCCAGGCCAATGTATTTCAGGTAAATTTGAACAATTCAAAAGATAATTAACAATTCCTGAACCTGTAATAATTTTCTTTGGTAAACATGAAACATATGATGATAAATAATCTGCACCGTTAATAGGTATATCAATTAATTTTTCCATTTCTCTAATACAAATATTAAGAATATCAAGTTTTTCATCATGGTAAATATTATTTCCTATACTTTCTTCAATTGATATATACTGTATACGTTTAATTATTTTTTCTTTTGATATTTTCACTTCCTTTGGTAAACAAGTTACATATTTTAGTAAATATTCAATACCTTCAGGAGTATCAATAAGATTTTCCATAATTGATTTAAATAAATGAACAATACCAAGTTTTTCGTTTTT